GCTATGCTCATATCTCCCTTCCCTCCTCCAGGTGAGAAGCTGGTGTTGAGAAATGGCATCCAATCTTTTGGTATCGATCATATATTCTAGGTGGATCACTTTTTTTCTTCAACTGAAATGGGCTGATCTAGTGTTTTTAAATGACCTTCCCCGATCAGAGAAGGGCAAGAACTCTCTTGAACAGTGAGGAGCACAACGATTTGTGCTCTGAGCGATACAACTTCTGTAAAGGAGTACAAGGTGCTGTGCTAATAAAAGGAGAAATGAGATAAGGAGCAGTAAGGAGGATAAAACAAGTAGAGTTAGGTTCTTGTGTGTAATCGATATGTCTCCCGGGAGAAAACCCTCTATCAACACAACTATCCGAACACCTATAGCTAGCTTGCTTTAGCTCCAACTACTGCTAGCTTTACCTGCAATGCAACTATCTTCCGAAAAACGAGTTGTTCGTTGCCCGACGCGGCTCTGGCTCTGCCTGCCTGGCACTAAAGCATCTACAGATTGAGGATTTGCCTATGTACCATCATCCGTCCTCTAAGTAATATGTATTCTTCCTCTAAGGTTCCCCCTCTAAGGAGGGTTGTGTAGTATTTAGCTTACAAGGATTGACTCGACACCATCGATGCGTAGTCTATCAATCAATTTAATGGGACTTATTTATATGCCTGTTACGAGGGGAATCTGCCTGTTATTCAATCTATCTCTTCAATCTGTTTACTGGTTTCCTTCTCGGCCAATGGAACATCTATTGCTTCCTAATCTGGAACTGAACTAAACAGAAATCTTGGTCAAGTATTGGGAAAAGGAAAGAGGCCCTTTTATTTTTCAAAACTAAGAAGGAGATGTGCATAGCGTTGTAAAGATCGGCAGAAGAGGAAGGGTGCAGTTAAGTTACAACATCTTCTGTTTCCAAGTCGATAGGCTTCTTTTGATAAAGGAAACTATTCCTCTGCTCGCTATACTCAAACCCTTGCCATTTCCTCGATTCCCGTTGAGAAAACAATCGATTGACCATTTTAGGACCTATTCTTCAGAATATAGAGGTATCGAAGATCTAGAAACGATGCGATGACTCCAGTTCGATCCTTTTCCGATGAAATGAATGAATTACCACGCTTTCCGCCGGCTGATAAAGAACTTTTTGATGATCGATTGCTTCACCCATGATCTGATGATCTTGCTATAACATAACGATACTGCATTTCCCCTCTTCCTTGTCTCTACTTAACTTACTTGTTCATTGCTTGACTCGAGGGAGGGGCTCTATATAGCTGTTTTGCCTTCTTTCTTGGACTCTCAGGTGAGCGCTTAGGCCAAGCCACAATTACCAAGGCATGATTGAATCCGCCAAAGAGAAGGGAATAGATGATCTCACTGGAAAAAGTTGCATAACCCCCCCCCCCGTTTTTTTGGCATGATTTCAAGATTTTGACCTGATTTATGAGAAAAGAACTTCGTTTTGCATTAACCCGAAAGAATCTCCTTATAATTGAGTGTGCAGTAAAGGGGGTTGTTACACCAAATCCCTCTGGTGAAGCTCTATCCAACTGCTTGTTAATAGCGGATTGGGTATTGGTCGATCGAAAGCTGTGATACGCAAAATCCTCAGCAGAATGAAATGCGGACTACAATTAAGTTAGTTGAAAAATAGAGTAAGGAATGGGACCGTCAACAGGAACTCTTGAATTGAGGGTTTTTCACACTACCTATAGAGAGATTGAACCAACACGGTGCCCATGGTAACTCCTCCACCCGTACTGTTTGCTTTCGTGGGGCTTTGCTGCGCTTTGGATCTTATCAGGTGGCAACCACCTTCGGTTCTAGACTCTGGCACTTCCCCTGGCTGTGGCACTTTCACTACCGCCTACTCCTACTATTGGGTCGGTTGTGGTTGGTGTTTTTATTCAAAAGTGGAGAATAGATTGTTCATTGCGAAGGAAATCAGAAATCTACATACAAGGGTCAAGATGTAAGCTCAAGTTAAGTGGACGGGTCCAAAGATCAGGGAAAAGGGTAGACCGAGACATGGTTGCAAGGGCTATATATCTATATAGTTACAAATGAATGAAAACGCCATGCTTAAAGCCAAAAGAATAAGCTCTTGATACGGATCTCTTTCATCTTGTAAATAAAGTAGGGGCCTCCCTAACTACAGCTTCCTACCATAAGTCAGACATTCAGCTAATACTGAAGAAATCTTCTTCTGGGGACACCTCTCTAAAATAAGAATGATGGCATTTTTTATCTTATTAGTTTTTTGATCGAGAAATGTGAGAATGTAGTTATTTTTATGAAACCGGATATTCAACATGCTTTCCTCGACCAGATCTATTTACGGGAGTCGTATTTCGAACTGACCCCGGGTGTGGTCTAGAAATGGTAAACCCTATTTGATCTTCAAGGTTAAGTACTTCTGCGAGACTATCAGCATCTTATCTGGTTGATAGCACTCAACCCACTGACTATACGTTTTATATGGGAGCCCTAACTCCACCATGCAATTCAACAAGCTGAGGACAGAGAAGTCAACCGGTCTCACGTTTTCTTATTTTCTTTTGAAAGAACCTGCCCCGAAGGAAAGCATATTATAGGGGAAGAGCTAGCTTCATTCGAGATGGATGGGCTAAAAGCTTTCGTTGAGACAAAGCAGGCAAAAAAAAGTTCGAGAACAGGATAACTAACGTTTGGAACCAAGAGATCTCATGGTTCTTCAAGTGAGAAGATGAGAAGGGATGACACCCATTTGACCTAGAAGACCGATGATCAAGTGTCAAATTCTAAGCCAAGAGATGGCAATGGGACTATAGGAGCACGGTACTAAACCATCATACCATACCGGTGACTTCACCAACCGAAACCAACTCAAATAAGTTCAGGGAGGAAAAGAAGACGGTCATGATAGATTGGTGAATGAGGAAGGAAAATAAAGCCTAAACTATCCAAGTAAGATAGCGAAAGAGAAAGCTGTCTTTAAAGCCTGTTTTGACCAAGCAAGCAAGCTGGAGCACCTTTCACGCTAGCTTCCCATCGCTCGAAGTACACTTCCGGTGCACTTCTCACTGCTCAACCACTTTATCTTTAACCTAACCGCCTTCTAAAACTTCCACGGGAAAGCCAGTAGAGTATGCCTTGGTTTAAGAGAGGAGCTCAGGTCCATCTTGTGCTCACAATACATCTTATTTAGCAGGACCTCTGGGCTCTTTAGAGAAAGGCGAAGTCTCTACTTGTTAGCCATGGATGCCAGTTATATTTACTTATAGAG